GGGGGCTGGAGGTGCTGCCCCAGGACCCGGCGGCCGAGGGGGACCCGGTGCCCCAGGGCATCATCAACAACTACTTCTCCGTCGGGGTGGTGCGTGGGGAGGGGGGAGGCCATCGGGAGGGGGCCGTGTGTCCCCCCCAGGGCCTCACTGTCCCACTCGGGCCCCCCCCAGGACGCCTCCATCGCCCACCGGTTCCACGTCATGCGGGAAAAGCACCCGGAGAAATTCAACAGCAGGTGGGGGGGGGACAGGGCCACTCCCACGGTGTCCCTGTGGTGTCCCCATCCCTGTCCCCTGTGACATCCCTCTTCCCTTGGCATCCCCATCCCTGTGGGATCCTTATCCCCACCACGTCCCCGTGATGTCCCCCATCCCCACGGTGTCCCCATCCCCATCCCTGTCCCCATCCCTGTCCCCATCCCTGCCCTCCCAGGATGAAGAACAAGCTCTGGTACCTGGAATTTGCCACCTCTGAGACCCTTTTCTCCACCTGCAAGAGGCTCAAGGAGCACCTGAGTGTGGAGGTGGGAGGGGTCCCTGCCCCGGGGGGGGTTGGGGGGAGCTCGGGGGGTCCTGCCCGGCCTGACGTGGCCCCCCCCCAGGTCGGCGGGACCCCCCTGGAGCTGGGGGGGTCCCTGGAGGGGCTGGCAGTGCTCAACATCCCCAGCACCCACGGGGGGTCCAACCTGTGGGGTGAGACCCGGCGGGCGAGGGGGCCCAGGGCAGCACAGCCCCCCAACGTCACCGACAGCGAGACCCTCCGGAGCTGCGTGCAGGGTGGGTGAGAGACCCCTCCCCAGGGACAGGGGGGACAGGGACAGGGACAGGGATGGGGACAGGGATAGGGATAGGGATGGACAGGAATAGGGATGGGACACCACGGGGATCAGGACAGGGATGCCATGGGGATGGGGATGATCTGGGGATGAGGACAGAGACAGGAATGGGGACAGGGATGTCACGGGGATGAGGATGGGGATGATGTGGGGATGGGGACAGGGGGTGGGACACCACAGGGATGGGGACAGGGATGTCATGGGGATGAGGGTGGGGATGATGTGGGGATGGGGACAGGGGGTGGGACAGGGATATCACAGGGATGAGGATGGGGATGGCATGGGGATGGGTACAGGGGTGGGGACACCACAGGGACATCGTGGGAATGGGAATGAGGATGCCACGGGAACGGGGGCAAGGACATCATAGGGATGGGGATGCCAAAGATCTGCTCCTGTTGCCCTGACCCCCCCTGTGCCCCCCAGACCTGGGTGACGGGCGGCTGGAGGTGGTGGGGCTGGAGGGGGTCCTGGAGATGGGGCAGATCTACACGGGGCTGAAGAGCGCGGGGACACGGCTGGCGACCTGCTCCGAGCTCACCCTCAGGTGAGGGGGCCTGGGGGGCTCTGGGGGGGCTCTGGGGGGGGCTCTGGGGGGGGCCCAGGCCCCGCAGTGACTGACCCAGGGGGGGTTTGCAGGACACTGAAGGCCCTGCCCATGCAGGTCGATGGGGAGCCCTGGATGCAGCCGCCCTGCACAGTACGTGGACACCCCCCCCATCCTCACTGAGCCCCCCCAGGGACCCCCGAGCGTGGGGAGCCCCCCCAGGCCCCCGCCCCAGCCTCTGTCTTGCAGATCAGGATCACCCACAAGAACCAGGTGCCCATGCTCATGGCTGCCACGTCCCGTTCTGGCGGCGTCTTCTGCACCAAGAGGGGCTCCCTCGAGGCCTGAGGGGGCCGGGGGGGGGGCCGGGGGAGCCCCCCCGAGCTGTGCCCGGGCAGGGAACACAGGCCAACCCTGCCTATTCCCCCCTCCCCAGCAGGAGCGAGGGGGGTCGTGCCCCTCCCCTGCACCCAGGGGTGCTCAGA